ATGTGTGCCTATGTTTATGGCAGCACAATTTGTGATAGCCAAATCTTGGAAACAACCAAGATGCCCATCACCTGAGGAATGATTGAAAAGGATGTGGTATTTTTACATCATGGACTATTCAGCTATTAAGATTGATAAATTCGAAGCCTTTATTTTGAAGTGGATGCCACTTGAGCATACACTCATACGTGAAATAAACCAGACACACATGTGTAAATACTGTATAGTTTCCCTAGCATAAGAACTCAAAAGAAGAAATGCAAATTGAAAGGTATAATACAAGTAAAAGGAAAGCAGGACCTTGAGGACTAACTAATCAAGAGAGGGAAAGGAGAAGAGCTAGGAAACATGAATAAGTCAAGCCATGCAGTTATATGTAGAAGATGGGCAAGGCAATGATCCTGAGAATCTCCAGAAGATTTTTGAATCTTGCAGTTAATTGGAAAGATTCTCACCCTGACTAAGGATATATACTGATACCTGTGAATTAAGCAACTGCACTGCAGATGGTAATCTGTAATAATAGTTTCATGTTTGAAGTGCCTGTCATTATGGTCTTCTGAATACGGGCTGCTTGTCATGACATGCCAGTTGCTGCTATGATGTCTCTCGGGTAGATGGTTTTCAAAAAGAAGGGGGTGGTGAATGAAAGCAAGAGACAGGAAAAGGAATATTGTGGGACTGTTGTGCTTCAAGGTTGTATATGGTGAGATTTTTGGACTTCTGTGTATACATAAGAAGTATATAATTCTTTATGCCTATTTTTAAACTATATTCTAATTTTTAAATTTTTTTATCATATTCTGTAGGGACTTAAAGTTCAACATATCAATACTTGATGAAAAATACCTGTTCCATGTTACACCTAAGATGTTTGATATGCAGACAGATAGTGAGGTTAAGCTTAACAACCTAAGTTGTATGGTAATAACAATAAACTTGTCTTCTGGATGGTTAACAACCTAAGTTTGCAGACAAAAATTAGAGAAAAAGGAGGGCTGCAAAGAAAGCCAACTTTTTGGCCCTAACCTTCCAAGGTAATTAAGACTCAGGACATATGAGAACTTGTACTCTTACATCATGTAACTCAGTAGTGTCCCAAATTTTCTGATCAAGGAGATTATGGGACCAAAGAAGAAAGTGATCAGTGATGTAGAGTGTGCCTAAGGAGAGTCATATGG